GCTCATATTTAAAATGCTTCTTCTCTTCATTTGAGGCATGCAAGAGTATCAACGATCTCACCTACTACTTAATCGCGTGAATCAATTATGCATATGTGCGCGTGTTCATGTAAAATTTACCCGATATAATGCACTGCATAAAAAAACGGAATACCAATTTTCATAATCCTTTTGAAGTCCTTGTAGAGATGGCAGGATTTCTGTATTAGCTGGAATCCATCCTCGCTACGTAGGTACTTAAAATTGTAGAATTGTATTCATAAGGATAGCAATTAATTCTTCGTTAATAGCTTCAATTAAAGAACTCACTTGGTCACACTCAACACAGTTAATTTCGGCAGTAAAGCAGTAAATTCACCAGGCTCCCAATACCCTGGCCTGTACAAGCAGCTAAATGTGTACAATCCGAACTTGTATTAAAATAACTTATAAGTATAACTATCCTATATAACTTATACTATACTGTAATTATACTATACTTATACTACACTTATTCTATACTATAATATAACTTGTACTTAAATAACTTATACTTACCTTGTATTAAAATATTAAACGAGTTGTGCGTGGCGCCTATGTGTGCCAACGCTCAGCCAAGATAATTTGCATATATTTAATACCAAGAAACTGTCATGAAAAGTTCTCCTCAATGCCCTTTTCCCCTGCTGATCTCTCATCGCATTAAGAAGCACATCATGAAGTGACGAAGCATAATCAAAAGAACTCTTTCTGAGCTCGCAGAAACATCGCCAAGGTCTCCGTACTGTCAAACCACCGCCGTAGATCTCAGTTCTCCCTTCCGTTTGCGTAACCCTTCCCTCTCGTGTTGACACCCTTGCGATCGTCGCCTTTTATTCTTCTGTAATTAATATTAATGTTTTGGAAGACGCTAGGTCGTTTATTGTTTCCATGGGTGCGTACTTGAGACGAGGCGTCCCTGTCTTATTAAAACAACACAAGCCCTCCACAGTCGCGTGTCTCGCAAGTACAACCATTAAATTACTCGAAGAATTTTTTCATTAAATCTTTAGAAATTCAGGTCTCCCCTTGAGCAGAGCGCCATGGAGAGACTCGAGCATTGTAGCCTAATTCGACAGAGACTAAATGAAACCCGAATTATTCATCAAAGGGCTCTTTTTCAGAGAAGAAATGTTATCTCTATCCGCGCATCTTCAACTTTATAATTATTGATAATTTGGGTAAAAGATCATTTTCTACTAGTTATAAATATAATTCATTTAATGAATTAACTTCAATACGACAACTCTGTGCTAAAATAAACGATTAAAGAATGTGACTTTCTCAATCGCACTGCCTAGAGTTACGGGAATTTAAGTCTTAAAATATTGACTTTCTGTAATTAATCTAAACGGCCATCTTATGTACGTTTAAAAACTTTTATCTACCAATTTCACCCATAAAGCCTGATTTTGAAAAAAAAACGTACAAGTTGTGATCAAAGCAACCGTCCCACGATGACCTCCACCCCCTCCTCCACCTCGTGCATCTCTTCATGATGAAGACGAAGCATTCATCTTGGTCCATCTGCAGCAGCAGCAGTCAGAGCCTTTATTACCTGGACAGCTTAAATTGGACTTTTGATGCTTCCACGTCAGAGCTCATTTAACTGTGGCCCTTCCCCTCTAAATACTGTACCTTGGTGTTCCTCTTTATAAAATCCAGTGAATTTTACTGCAATATGTTACCGTGGTTTCTTTCGGCACCGAGTTCAAGTGCATCCGATTTTCTATGGGTCTTTGTTTGAATTTTATTGCTAGTTTATATCTTCGAATTAAAAAAAAAATAACTGAGTAAGAAATAACTGAAGTAAATTTGAATGTAAATTCTAATGAAATGTTTCAGAAAAACATAATTTTTTGCCGGTGTGAGAGCTTTCACGTTAGTTTGACCTTTCAACAAATTCTGATGTTTTTGTTGCAGAGGGATCGAATATTTTATTAACTTCGAATACCACGAAGTTTCTCGTCTTTTTTGCAGTGAATTCCCAAGTCTAAGTGTTGACTCTAAAGACGATGGGAACGAACATAAATTGAACTAAAGCCAAGTGAACTTTCAATGATAGAAAATATGCTTCCATGTATCTTTTGCAGTTTGTTGAAAATTCCTGCCTTGTAAATGTTGATTCATGGTAGAAAGCTAAATTTTCTATAACTTCATGAGAACTATATACTGCAGCACCTGCACTTACTGAAAACAATCAAGAGTTAGTCTTCGATACGAAGTCTAAATTACGTACTATGTATTTCTGTATAATTTGAGCACACATCTACTGTCGCGATGGTATAATCCTCCTATTGTGGTTATTGACGAGCTACCATCAATTATTTCACGACAACATATCTAATTTATCTTAAATATATAATAATTGCATGTATAATAACTGCATCCGTTTTTTAATACAAAATTCTAAATAAATCTCGATAGTAATATCACTTAATTTGAAATCACTACAAATTTATATTGGTTCTTGTTTGTCTGTCTGTCTGTCTGTCTGTCTGTCTGCTACAAATCTTGTAATCGAAATTTAACACACTTCTACTTATCCTATCGATCTGAAATTTTGCATACTTGTTTAAAGTCGGAGACAATGCATTAATCAAATGTCAAAATAAATGATTTTAAAAATTAAAAAAAAATGTTTTCCAATATTAAAAAAATTGAAAAAATAATTTTGTCAGCTACAAATCTTATTACTGATATTTGACACACTTTTACATGTCTAATTGATCTGAAATTTTGCACACTTGTGTGAAGTCGGAGGCAATGCATAAATCAATTAACAGAATAAATAATTTTGAAAAAAATTATTTATTAAAAAATTTATATATATTGAAAAATTGAAAAGTTAATTTTTTTAATTTTTGAAAATTAGATGAGAAATTCATTGTACATCTGTAAGATTGGAGATACTGGATTATTTGGAAGTGTTGTCTTTAAAAAGAAATTTTTAAACGTATATTATTTAATACAAAATTCTAAATAAATTTCGATAGTAATATCACTTAATTTGAAATCACTACAAATTTATATTGGTTCATCCTATCTAAGTATTTAATAGATATTATATATAAAATATAAACTGAATTTTCACCAGACCAGCAATCTCCTTTTTACTTATAGGTTGGGAAGTGCCATATGCAAAGCATCACACATATCTTGCACGACTTAAATATACGTGCTTGATCGGCGGTTATACTAAGGCCAAAGGTTGGCCGTTCCATATTCACCTTAGTTTTTTGTTTGTATTATTGCGTGTTGGAGCGCGCCAGGTCCATGCATGTTAAATTTCTAAAATACAGGCGTGCGTCAAGTTTGTAGCAGTCGTCGTCCCAATTTAAACAAGAAGTTCTAGTGTTGTCTGCAATTAAGTAGCATTTATTATTGATGAACTCGCTACGAATCATTATTGATTTAACAAACCATGTTATGTGACCATATACAATACACTATATTGGTATAGATTGGTAGTGGTAAATTGCAGCTGCTCAATGTTTCGTTGTATGTCAAAGTTTTTTCAACAAGGTCAAAAATTACTTTGAGAATTTAGGCTACATTACCAATTATAGTCTCAGATAAAATTTGATTAGGCTGAAATATAATTCAGTATTATTAGTGCTGTTGAAATTGTTAGATGTTCTATCAGAAATTTTCAATCTGCATTCAGCATTTTTACTGAGTTTAAATGTTTTAACGATCACATTAGTCGTGAATTTTTAAACCATGGAAGCATGATTGCTTTATCTCGCTCAGCACGCCAGACCGGACTTCCGGAATGTTTAATAACATATATTATTCTCTTGCGTTCATAATTATCTCTATGCTTGACATGCTACACTGACTTCCTGATAAAGTAATGAGGTCGAAAGATGAGCTTATTAACGCTGATAAACATTGCGTAATCCCTACAATATTCTCAAACTGATGTCCAGTAATTCCCAAGCATCTAACATTTCTTTATTCCATACCTTCATTAACACTTCATTTCTTGTGTCTTTAGAAGCTATTACCTGACGAAACGTCTCTCTGCCTTCGCTGTGCGTATTTGAACGCGTTATCTTAACGACTGACCGTGACCCGCAATTTCCTAATTTCTTCGTTCTGTGTTCGGCATTAACACGGCAACGGAGTAATGCAAGCGAAGCCAGAAATGTTCCATCGATCAAACAGGCGGACCGACCAAGTGCCCCCCTGAGGAGCTCGTTGCCGACTAATTGTCCCTATGCTGTCCTTAATACAAGGGCTTATCGTGGCGCTTATCAGATAGCCTGCTGCCCTGCACGGCGAGCCCGCGGCTCCACGCGAACCTGGCTGCTTGATATGGTCGCAACGGACTGCTGGTACTACTGCATGATACTACTTGTGTTTATGGTGCTGCTGCTACTGCATGATGCTACTTGTGTTGATGGTGCTGCTGCTACTGCATGATGCTACTTGTGTTGATGGTGCTGCTGCTACTGCATGATACTACTTGTGTTGATGCTGCTGCTGCTCTGGTGCTTCTCGCTGTTGATACTGGTGCTGCGGCTATTGCATGATACTACTGTGTTGATAGTGATGCAGCTCTGGTGCTCCTGTTGATGATGGTGCTGCTCTGGTGCTGTTGTTGACGGTACTGCGTTGGTGTTGCCGCTGATGGAGGTGTTGCTGCTTGTGCTGCTGCTGTTGGTGATGGTACTGTTGGTGCTGCCGCTGATGGTGGTGCTGGTGCAGCTGTTGCTGCTGCAAGAAGCATGATCTGCTGCTGATGTTGTTAGTGCTAATAGTGCTGCTGGTGATGGTGCTCATGCTGATGCTAGTGCTAATGCTATACGTTGTCAGTACGCTGCATTCCCTTAACTTCACAGGCCTAGGGCGCCGCATTTTCGAAGCATCACAATACGTCAATACGTCGCATTTACAAGGCGCTGCATTCCCAAGTGTATGCATTTGTAACACTGCAATTCAACATCGTAAAATATTCTTTATTCTTCTTGTTTCAGGACGCAGAAACGGCGATTACGAACATGAATGGCCAGTGGATCGGCAACAGGAACATTCGCACCAACTGGGCTACCCGCAAGCCCCCTGCACCCAAGACAAGCGATGGTGAGTCTCGTCTTCATACATAACCTTTTTTTTAAACTGGATACTAATACATATTGATGGAAACCAATCATTAATAATCTTCATGTTTTATCTAGTACATGTGCGCTTTAGCATTTTATAAACTAATACGCCTTTACGGAAACCCATGTCAATTATTTTTTTTATGTTTCATCTCTGTTCTTCTGACCGTAAGTCTAGTTGCTAGACTTTTAGAGACGAATAATTTGAAAACAGTATAAATATATCTGGATAAAGTTAGAGCATATACTAGATGGTAAATTTGAGATCGCTCACGAGGCGGAAAGATGTGACAGACCGGAAAATTTTAAATCCGTTTAAATCTGATATTTTCAATCGTATGATGCAACATAGCAAAATCATCGTATACAGCCGCCTGAGTTGCAAATTAATCTAAATAAATATTATAAATCACTTAATTACAGGTATTTCTTTAATTCATTTCCACACTTATTTGCATCTACGAGTATATAGGCCAAAGCTAAATTTTTGATGACGTCTAGAATTTAAAAGCAAAGAAAACAGCCGAAAATGTTCACCATTTCTAATGAGAGAAAGCGTTCCGGATTCCAGCTCCATCGCAAGTTCGAAAGTATAGAAAACAGGTACAAACAATTAGTAAACAAAAATTCACATGGTAGTACTGACCTGGTAATCTTGAAATCCCTGTACATTTTAAAACAGAAGCATAGTTTAAATGCCGCGAGCAGTTACCATACCCTCGATATTGTAAATAGATAGTTTTTTTCTGTTCATGTTTTCTTCATTTTTATTTGTTAACATTTGACAATTTTGGTTTTTTATCCTCAATGTGAATTTTAGTTTGCTATTTGTCTGTATTTGTGTTCTAGGTTTTTGAACAGATAATGGAGCTGGATTAGGAAACGTTTTCTCTCTTTATAAATGGTGAATTTTATGACCGTTTTCGTTGCATTTAAATTCTTGATAAATTTGCGATATAAGCAATTAAGCGATCTTAGTCCTTATATTTGATGGCATTTTAAGCAAAATCAACATCAAACATAATTTACAGATGAGAACCGTTCCACATCAACTTATGTAAGTTAATCAAAGTCATGTGTCAATTGGCAAACATTTCACCGCGACCTTTCAATTGAGAAAAGCGATAGAATCTGCTAACTTAACACTTCTCATTTCGACTGAGCATAAGAACTTTTTAGAAGTTTTAAGAAAGAGTATGATCTGAAGAAGCAATGGAATAGCGACGACTCGATCTCAATCGAGATTCAAAAGATAATTTTTGATTAGAAAGTTCCGTCTGTCCGTGACAAAATCGAAGCTGCTGTCATTGACATAGGCGCTGGAGGCGTTCACATTCTAGACGCCCTCCTTCTCTACGCCCTCACGCGAGGGAACCAAATATTAACGCTCTCGGCAGCGACTAGACGTTATCAGAACAAATATCGAGGAGAGAAACTTGTTATGAGTTAAAATATAAATGAGGAATGATGTGCATGAAAATATTTTACAGCAACAAGGAGGAAATAATAATTAAAAGAAAAGTTCGGAGATGGATTTCAGCTTAGAACTTTGATGAGAATTACATAACGGCATCAAATCCTAAAAGTAATTAAAAAATTCAAAGTAAATGATTAAAATATTGATCGTTGAGTGCTCACGAAAAATATATGACGTACAATTTATGATCAAAATTCAAAAATCTTAGTGCACAAAATTTTTTTTTAGCAACGCTCATCACCAGATTTAAAACTAAGGTTTTTTCCATTTATATCAGACATGCAGTTCCTGCCAGGCAGAAGCAGATGTTTTTATTGTTTTAGCGGAAAACAGTTTTACAGTGGACGGTTTGAAAGCTTGTTCCTGGTCCGTACGCTCTTCATGGTGGTAGAGCCATAAAAGCTCGCAGCCACGAGAGGGCTCTCGTATTTGTGTGAGATAACGCTGCTCCCAGCCATCGCATTGTCTAAACCTATTTGGCATTTGTTTCTTCCGTCTTTGCTCGGCCTAATCGCAAGCCAAAATTACGTTACAGTGGTGTGCCGACAACATTTTAATGGGGCCACGCAGCCCTCGTAAAAGCAGTCATGCCGCTGCCGAGCTCTTAATCTCCTTTGCGTTCGCTTTTTTGTTTCTGTCAAAAGATTCTCTGCGTGGACGCCATCAATGCACTGTCCAACCAGACGCTCTTTCTGGTTCATATCCTGGACAGACTGACGGCCCAAAATGCTAACTTTGTACTAAATAATTTCATTTTACAACATATTTTCATTTTTCAACCCTAGTGATGTTTTTCAATGAAATCGACGCGGAAAAGGGCCATGGAAGCTAAGTCACTTACAAAAAAGTATTCAACCTTGCAACGTCTATTTTTTATCAATAATGAAATCGATTACCGATAAAATATAGAGTTGAAATAGTAGATGAATTGAGTTGAAACTTAAAGCTGGATCGTTGCAAAGGCATCAGTCAAAAGTTCTTTATTCAGTCCGAAAATTTGTGCATTTTATTCGAAGTATAGATATCCCTTACTGCGAGTCTCGCCTCGACAATCACAGGACTCCGTCTCTCCGAGTGTTTCGTGCGCCCATTTCCCTAGTTACGAGGCCTACTTTACGATCGCAATGTCCTGATCTCCAGTACCTATCAAAATATGCCTGGGTTGCGTACCACGAGAGGACTATTAAAACATTATTATGAAGCCAACGCATACTTTGCTAAGCGTCTTACAATTCTTGGACAGTAAGACGAACATTTTCTTGACCAAATAGGCTCTGCAATATAGGCGGTCGACCGCGCTAACGGCCAACTCTGTAGGCCTTCACTCATTATTCACTCATCTAGAAACCTTCAATTGGCCGTGTGTAACTTCTGATTAACTTGGAATATATATTATCGCAATCGTTGAAACAATTTGTGTTCTTTTCGATGAGAAAAATTGAAATGTCCTCTGACCTTTCATCAAAACTCTGTTTCAGAACTTGAATACAAACCTTGATATTATGCCAAATAATTCATTCGTATCAACGCTGTGTTTTGTCATGATGAATATTGCAATTTTTTGAGTCGTTTGATTATTCGGTTACCCAAAAACATGCACACCTTTTCAAATATGTTTGGCAATTTCATTACATCGGATAAATCGTTCATGGAGGGATTGTTATTGTCTTTGACGGCGCCTCGAGTTGATTGCTACCATTTTATTGACATGGCATTCTCAATTAAATCAAAATCGTCTAGTATAACAGGTAAAAATGATTTTATTTAGTCACGTACATCAATATTTTCCATTTTCATTGTTCCAGACTTTAACCGAGGGATTAGACTCGTGTCAGGGATGTGAGTTCATTTTCCTTGAACAATATTCAAATATTTACAAATCTTCAGAGTTCATTTGATCTTTCTCATTTGCTTGCTTTTTGTTCATAGCTGTGTTGTTGTTAACATTTATTGCCCCGTGTTGTCAGCCGCTGTGTTGAACCTAACTTTTTTTCCAACTCCGTTTTTCAACAACTTCCCGTGTGTGATGATAAATGCCTTGATTTTATCTCGATTGAAATTTTTTTATCAATCTGATAAATATTTAAATTTTGATCTTGAATTTTTATTCTATACGCAATTATTCTATTTAACTTTAAATTCTGACTGCAATGACCGTTAAAAATGTTCTGACCTTCAACGTTATTTGCGGCTAAAAATAAAGCATATGAAGCAGGAATTTACTTCGTATTCGCGCAGTCTCATAGAATTTTCATTCATTTTCAATATTTTACCAAGAGCGAAGTATTTTCCACAGACTAAAGAATTGTTGCATTTATGAATGATAAAAATTGATGAAGCAATTATATAGAATTCCTGCAAATAACGCTCATGCTTCATCAGTTGTTTTAATTTCTTCTGTTGTTTGTTTCAATTGATATGTTTTATTCCTTTGGGATCGATGTAAAAAAAACACATTAACGATTTATCGGATAGGTCATGATAGTACGTAGAATGTTGACTAATGTTTTACCAATCATACGTAATCTTTTTAGTGTTACTACGAAAATAATTTTCAAACAAACTTAAATTTTAATCGCCTCATTTGTCAACGTCATCAAAAACTGTTCAATTGTTCAAATGAGCAATTGCTTCAATTGTTTCAATATTGTTCGAATCATTGAATTGTAAAATTTCAACGTTTCTGACATAAATGTGAAATAATTTAAGATAAATAGATATTTGTTATATCCCTGCATCCCATCTTCGAACAAAACCTATTAAATATTTTGCAACGTATTTCTTTCCCTTTCGATCTCACGAAACTTGTTTCTCTTAATTAACAACTTTTTTTTCAAATTTGATTAATGATCAAACTTAGTTTCATTATAATCTGATTAAGATGCTTTCACTAGATTTTTCTATTTTTAAATCCAATTTTTAACCGGTATTCGTCTTTCGCTCGTTTAAAAAATCATTTTATACATTCATTTTTTGTGATATTTAATTCAACTTAATCCCTACGGTCGAATGGGCTCACATTTCCCTAGTGTACGTTACCCAAGGCATTATAATTTACATTGAATAATTATTAAAATCGATGGTTCCATGACTTCATTCCATCGCAATTACAATTATTAAACATAAATTAAACCTTGAAATACAAATCAGAAAGAAACCCATTGAAGCTATAAATATTTCAACTATCGCAGCAATTCTCACAAGTTTCTAGCTCCTATAAATATGTGCTCAGTTTTTCGCTCTACAAAAATCAAAATTTAAAAAGACGAATAAATTTCGCTCTTTTCTAGCCAATCAGAAGCCTCTGACGTTCGATGACGTGTACATTCGCTCTGTAAAAGTCAAAATTTAAAGAAAAAACGAATAAATTTTGCTCTTTTCTAGCCAATCAGAAGCCTCTGGTGTTTGATGACGTGTACATTCGCTCTGTAAAAATCCAAATTTAAAAAAAAAAAACGAATAAATTCTGCTCTTTTCTAGCCAATCAGAAGCCTCTGACGTTCGATGACGTGTACAACCAATCGTCGCCCACGAACTGCACTGTCTACTGCGGGGGCATCACTAACGGGCTCTCCGAGGAGCTCATGCAGAAAACTTTCTCCATATACGGCAGCATCCAAGAAATTCGGGTTTTCAAAGACAAAGGATACGCCTTTGTTCGGTGAGCACTGAATTTATTGAGTATGTATTGCGTTCATCCGTTTTGCTGTATTTTTTTAATTTTTTAAGTAAGTGTATTATTTGAGAATGAAAGTGAGTATATTATTTACAATAAATTTGAAATTTCTTGGAGAAGAAGTTTTTGTTCATTGGCACTTGCATTGATTATGATTCGCTTGGAAAATAGATTTCCATATGTTTAAGATTAAGAAAAAGCAACATAAACTTCAGATTAAATAAATCATAAATTCCTGTAATTGATAACATCGAATTTGTTCCAATGGCATCAATGAGACCATAATAAGTCGTGCTTTTTAATATATTTAATTTTTATACAATCTTAACCGTACCTGTTTCTGTTGCTGATATTCAATGCTTTGAATCCCGTTCTTAATGCAAGATATTTTGTCCTTTTTAGTTTCAAATACAAAACGAAACTTGATGTATCTATGGAAAGAGAGTTAACTCTCCACCAATTAACAGTATCTCTCGTTACCCGCTATCGTTAAAATGGCGATAGCATTCACTAAGTTTAATATATCCAAAAGCAAAGGGTCAAATTATAGCCTAGTCGTCTGATGGTTCGGTACACATCTGTTATTCATTTACACATGTTTCGGTGATCACAGTGTTGGAAAAAACGGTCCCACTGGCGTTCTAGTGGCCGGTCGCCCCGTGAAAATAAACTGTTTCGCCGTTTTTATCAGATGTTTTACGGATTTCTAGTGTTATATTAGAATAAAATCGGCTACACGGTGTCTCTGTTCGCGTGCCGACCGGCCACTGAAACGTCGGTAATACCATTAACGGTAATTTTTCTAACAGTGCAGTATTAAGGTTCTGAAATTTTTAAAAGCGCATTTGTGCTTCAGGTTCTCGACGAAAGAGAGCGCGACGCACGCTATCGTCTCTGTGCACAACAACGAAATCAACGGCCAGCCTGTCAAGTGCTCCTGGGGGAAGGAGTCTGGTGACCCCAACAACACCCCTGTCACCACCCAGGTCATGGTGAGTGAGGGAATGGTGACTCCAACAACACCCCCGTGGTGTATGGTGATTCAAACAACACCCCCGTGGTGTATGGTGACCCAAACAACACCCCTGTCACCACCCAGGTCATGGTGAGTGGGGGAATGGGGACCCCAACAACACCCCTGTCACTACTCAGGTCATGGTGAGTGGGGGGAATGGGGACCCCAACAACACCCGTCACCAACCAGGTCATGGTGATTAGTGGGAATGGTGACTGAGAATACATTTTGTTTACCTTTCTAGGCTTGGTTAGTTTTGGTTGGTGAGTTTTGAACACGAATGCTTTAAATCTCTACAAGTTCCTCACTAGAACTTAATAACAGTCCCATTTTCCTTATTCTCATCTTACGTAAGACATCTCATATCATTGAGAAGACATTAGACCTCATCGATACATCTCTTCGGATGTCATTTCACTACCATGCAGGTTATAGCCTCACAGAATTCTTTTTGTGCCGGTGAGATCCACCAGTTTACAAAAATGTTTAATTTCTGTTCATTTCAGACGCTGACCGACGTTTCGGAGTGCCTGTCTCTGCAGCCTCTGCCCGGCTCTCAATATCCCTACAACTATCCGACTGGACAAATGGGATATTGGTATCCTCAAGGATATCCTACAGCGGCCCAAGTCCAGGGCCAGCAGTTCCTTGGCATGCAAGGCTTCACCTACGGACAGTACGGATACCAGCAAGGGTAGGATTACGTTCATTTTGAAATTTGTGTGCATGAATAATTAGATGTGTGATCAGTTATACAGATTCTCCTAAAATGTACCAGTCTGAATTTGTTTCTTTGCATGGCGCTATCTGTTGGGCAACTGTTGATGTCCTTTTTCCTATGTTATTGAGTCATTTTCCCTGTTTAATTGATTTCATTCATTCTTTCATTGAGCATTTAACTAACGCCGTAAAGTTAATTTTCAAAATAGTCAATTAGTATTGATGAATTGTATTTTGAATGCCGACTAAACGTGTTTCCTGGTGGCTATATTTTTTCCATGTTTAGAAAGATGATTTTACAAGTTTCCAAGTTCAACAGGACATTTATCCTGTATTTTCCAATTTGACTAGTTTTCCCGTACTGGCAGGACCACCTTCATGTTACGAAAAGCTTTTTTCACGAGTTTCTTTGTTAACAGTAACATTTTCTTTTGATTAAAATCTATTTTATAAGTCTATTTGTTAACTGTAGTTTTTTTGTAAGAAACTTAAAAGCAAAGATAACGCCAAGTATTTACACTAGGTATATCGATATCGAAAACGTTTCGGATTCCATGTTCCATCGTCAGGTCGACAGTCTACAAAATGAAAACAATCATTATAATTCAAAATTGCATATGACCGAGGATATAAGGATATCAGACTGTGGTTATAAGAATATTTTTTTTAGTTGTAAATCCGTTTGACGAGTTCCCTCGTTTGACGAGCTCCCTCGTTTTGACGAGCTCCCTCGTTTTGACGAGTTCCCTCGTTTTGACGAGTTCCCTCGTTTTGACGAGTTCCCTCGTTTTGACGGGTTCCCTCGTTTTGACGTTTGACGAGTTCCCTCGTTTTGACGAGTTCCCTCGTTTTGACGAGTTCCCTCGTGTTGACGAGTTCCCTCGTTTTCAGAATGGCTGGCATGGCTGGAGTGCCCACCGCAGCCACCGCCTGGCAGGGAGTCCCTCAGCCACAAATCCCATCAGCTGCAGCTGCTGCTGCTGCAGCTGGTCAGATGGCTCAGCTGCAGCAGCCACCCTCGATGGTCGGCGCTTATCCTGTCCAGCAGTTCCAGGTATCCTGTCTACCTACCTGTCACATCCTGCTAGTGTTTATATGCTTTATCTCTTTAATAAATGCTACTTTTCTACACTCTTCTAACTTCTTTTTATGGGAAGACGGAGCTTTTAGTTACACTCCGGATTCCTGATTTTTACTGCATGTGTTTTTCTTTACTTCAATGAGTTATTGTTTGTCAAGAAGCATCTTTGCTCAAATTTATTCCTTATATTCCTTCATATACATCGATATGAGCTCAATATTTTAACGCTTTATGAATAGTTTTAAAAATTATTGTGATTCACGTGCGTTGATTAAGCATTAAATCAATTATTTTGAAAATTTGAATATAATTTAAAAATCAATTCATGGCACGGTGCAGGGGGAAGTAATGGAGTCAATAATCAGAGCTAATTTTGCAACGACAGGTTTACCTCACAAACAACTTTGATGTGAAATAGTAATTGACTGTCTCCATTTGAAATATCATTCACCTTAATCCATTAGCCTTGCGAATTTACTTTCCGTAGAGACATATAAAAATTTCAAATCTGATGCCGTTACTCAATTTTGCATGTTGTTGCCAGAATACGTGTTGTGGGCATGCACTTCATTAACAAACTCTGTTTTCAATCTAATTGTTTGCAATTTACAGCAATGCTTTGAAATATGATTACACCCGAAACCGTTGATGACTGTCGAATACTTTAACTCTTTACACTTACTTACTTACATTTAGTTGTCCAGTAAATTTTGCAGTGGTTGAACTATTTCTGAAGTTAATGAGTTTTTATTTCTTCATCAATAATTGTTTATTTATTCGTTGTTTTGATATAAAGACATCGTCGGAAAATGAAATCGCAGAAGATAGTGATTTAATTTTCTAATCATTTTCGTTGAATCCCAAAATATTTATTGCAATCTAGATTTTAAATTTTTATAGAAAATCGAAAAAAAGACATGCGATGAAGTAGATAAAAGTTAAGTGATTTTTAATTGTGATTTTAATGAAGCACAACCAATCTTCTCATGGAACTTCAGCAAATTGAAATTATTATTATTGGTATTCGAATTTTTAAGGCGTGATTTTAATAATACGGTTTCGAGTGTCATCTTGATTTAACTCTCAAGTCCACAGTTTTAAATAAACAATGCTAATTTTATCGTTACTGCTGAACGAGATTTTACTGATTGCGTATTGTCCTATAACAATTTTTTATGGTTCATGTTTATATGGAATGAATTTTGAAATGTGAAACAATTTGTTCTCACACCTTGCCCCCCAACCGACTAGTACTTTTTGCTAGAGTGTGGTCGTAGCACTAGTTTGACATCAAAATATTGGGCTGCCTAGCTTCTGGTTTTCAGAAGCTGGGGCGACTCTAAATTAGAAACAGGAGTAAAATAAATACAATATCAGAAGCTCAGCTTCTGGTTTTCAGAAGCTGGGACTCTAAGTTAGATAAAGGGGTAAAAGGGTTACAAGGCCGCCTCAGCTTCCGGTTTTCAGAAGCTGTGGCGACTCTAAATTAGAAATATAGGGGTAAAAGTGTTACAATTGCTTATTCAAATGTGGTCGTAGCTCTAGTTCAACATGGGTGACCATTGCTTATACAATTGTGCCATAATTGTTCGCAGCTGTCGACCCCGTACATCATCGGAGGCGCTCCAGGCACTTTGGTAAGTGGCCGTATTCTGCATCGCTTAGTATAATAAATTATAATAACATAATTATTCTGTGCTTTCAACCTGCCGTATATTTCCCCAAATCATGTCATGACTTTTCCATCATAACATTCGATGGCTTTCCTTGCAGTAAATTTAATTAATTGTTATTTCAGTATTAGTCTTGCGCCACTACATCAAAATGGGTAGTTATCAAGTATTCGAATCGCTCGTGTAGGTGCGACTGATTCAGAATTGAACAATTATATCGATATGTTGTCACTGACGCAGCCTGAATTACTCAGCGCCGAATTTGAAACAAATGAAAACAATTTCATTTCAGCTGATTAAGTTTTGCATTCGTTGAGCAAATATAAAGCCCCACAGGTTTAACTTTTCTTTAAAGAATCTGAGCTATTTTATACCCAGCGTGAAGCATGCCTCCCTAAATTAGTCAACACCAAATCGGTATTTTAAGTAAATTTGTTATGGTCCGTCTTTTAAGAGTGCATTTTTTTAACTTTAATTTGATTCTCAACGTTCACGTATGTTTTATTAATATTATTACTATCTCGCATGCTTCAACTAATTTCATAGCATGAAATATATCTTGTTTCTATTTATATCTGATTGCTCTTCCTACTAGGGGCTTCTGCGCATCTTTGAAAGTGTGCAAATGTTCCTTGCAAGCTTAAAAACTGAACAAACAAAATATTTAAGACATCCGTGGTACCGTAATTCATTAGTGTTGCATAATATTTCAGTGTATGATGATCAGGCTGAGGTCTCGATTTCCTTTCATATGATGCTCCCGGATTTAGGTTTAGATTTCTTAATTTATGATGTTTTTGTATTAGGTTTGATTTCTGTGTGTACGATGCTTTCGAATTAGGTCTTGATTTATGAATGTACGAGTATGCTGTTTTAGGGCTAGATCTAGATTTATGTAAACCAATATGCTGCTGTGGACCAGGCTTCGTTTTTTTTTGTATGTATGTTATTTTTGAGTTAGGGAGAGATAGATTATGTATTTCAACATTTTAATCGGTTAGTCATTCATTTACGTTCAATTGCCGGCCGTTTTACTGGCTTACCATGAATCACAAATTTTATGTGAAAACATTACGATATTATCCTTATGTGAAATTTTTCAGATTATGTCGGACTTCGTCAATAAAATCGAATAGTTTTTATTTCAAACATACTGCGAATAGTACGCGTATGTTTCCATGTGAACTCACTTGATTTCGATACAAATTTTATGAACTTCATCACTATGAATGCAAATCAACGATACGTGCGTTTCGAATACACATCTTCACCCGACGTCGATCCTGGCTTAGAAAAAAAAAAAAAAAATTATTCTTCCTTCATTTATGTTTCAAATTTCATTCTATTCAAATTCATTCGAATTTCATTTCATTCAAATTCTTTTCACTGACGGCTCTTCATATAGCTTTTCAGGTCTCGACGTAACTAAAATCTCATCATGCGCCATATTTTTATTTGCCAAAATTGTTAATGGAAAAAGATTTTGTGGTTTTTCTTTCGGCTGCTTCTAATAAGAAAAAGTGCGCTTGACACGATTTGCTAAAAACTATGAAAAATTAAAATCGCGAATATTCCCCTTATGTTATACGATGAGTCAGAGATCGGAAATTTTAATGAAAAGTCGTTAGTAAGAAGATTAGAAATTCTTGCGTCATCTTCGTTCTAGACTATTTGCATGGTATCTATTTTTTCCATTCTTCGGAGAAAAAATAGCATTGAAATATGTTAAAAGTAAATAGACTTAATGCTGTTCATAAATTTTAGACTATGTTTAGATTGTGTTCTTGTATTTACCACGATATTGGTCATTTCAGGTGCAGTAAGGAGAAGCAGTAGACCTCGTGTCTTCGTTACGACCACTCTAGAGATGATCCCTACTTTGCGACCCCATCAGCCATCTTCTCCAGACACTTAATGTCTAGAATCAAGATCATCTTCATTGGAGTCAATCTGCATTCATCGTAGAAAGCAGATGAAATTATTTCAACACTGCCTTCGATTCAAGAAATCTGTCTCTCTTACAGTAACGAGAAAGGCAAATGTCCAATCTATTTTGAAAGAATTCATCTCATCTACAGACGAAAATTTAGGACGGATCTTACGTTTTTTTCATTTATCTGTACAATATAAGTGTGCAGACAAACGGAGTGCATAATTATTTGAATTTCGTTTCTTTCAACAATGTTGCTGCTGCCTCCTCTCCCTCTGTCATAGGATCACTACGCCCCAAATTGGCTCTGAAAAATCTATTGACGTGAAATACTCGATATACCTCCAACCACCTACAGCAGTCTGTTGAGTCTGGAATCCTTTTATTTCGCAGCGTTTCTTCTCAAAATGGACATGAACTTGTGTGATAAAATTTTGAACTCTTTGACTTACAAAATCAAAACTTTTCTATCATCAACTTTTCGTGGAGCAGCAGCATTGTTATCGAAATCATCTGTCTGTACATAAGAATATATAGTGCAATATTCAGTAACTGTTGAAAGCCCTAGATTAAGGTGATAAGTAATGCACTAGAAATGGTTATAGCATTGTTATATTTGTGTGCAAGGTTCTATATTTTGGTATAACATGGTGCTTTGATTTGGCTAAATTTTGTTCAGTTCCACAGGCTTTATAGGTTTGTGCTTGCACTGTACAAAGATTCCTGAAAGTTGAAGTCCTAAACAGAATTTACAGCTGCCTCAGCTTCTGATTCCGGTAATCAGACGCTGAAGCGGCGCTAAGTTGTGTTGAGGCTTGACTGGTCAATGCTGTATGACCCGAAGGCATCATACATAAAGAAATCAGAGTCAGCAGAACTGAAGTGGGTGTATGCTATTGGCCCAGGTAGCGGTACATTTGAGCTTGGTTCGTTTATATTAGTTTGACCGTTACATGAATAGCTACGTAAGTACCCATGTAATGAGTGAGCCGTTTTAAATGGATAAGTGACCCTGTGCCGTCAATGTCCAGCCTACCCTAGCTGTGTATAGGTGTTCCCGTGCTTTGTAGTACCGCTAGTTCCAGACGCAGGACTTAGTTTCAGTAATCTTATTATGTTCTCGTATTCGATTCAATCCTCTCAAGTTACGTGCTTTCAATCAATGCTTGACTTATCCGCATCAAGATAATTTCCGCTGTTAAACGTTCGGCGAATTCGTTTGCACCTATATCAATATTTAGCAAATAATATCATTTCTGCCAAATGTTGGTCAAATTTTCTTTATTCGAGACACTCTCGAGCTTGAGCTTGAATAGCTTGCCTGCCATTATTTACCTATTGAGATCGAAGAGAATATGATAAAATTGTGATCATAGTCCTGTTTCTAGCCAACGCTTAGTGTAATGTGCCCATGTGTGTAGTACGTGGAAACATAGAGGTGTAGTGTAGGGCCATGATGAAAGTACTACTTTAATTAAGGTGACAGAAAATAGAGCTGCTCTCCTTCATCAGCTTAACTGATCTCTTTTGTTAACATCGACAGGAATAAATATTGCGGTGTTGCATTGTCTAAGAGGTTTATGGTTATTTCATAGTCAGTCAGTGCAATAACCCATATATTCTTCGCATTTTGATTATTAATATACCTTATTACTAGTGTACTGTCCAAACCTTATCGATTTACCTCGAAGAACGCAACGAACAAAATTTCTATGGTTTTGACACTTTTATATCTGTGAAAAATTTACTATGGAGCTTTGAATTAACTACCGGTTAATTTGTTTCAGAGTTTTTTCATATTTATTTCTGAACCCAGCAGTGCTGCTGCTGTTGTCAATTGTTTTGCTATGAAGATGAACAGCCTCCTGTCAGGCCAGCCTCCGTTAGCCTCCGCCTCGCCATGTATTGCAGCGCTGTGAACCGAGCCACTGCTGCTGCGCGTTCATCTGAACTACCGTTTATGACACTTGAGTCGCCACTGTTTTAAGTCGCCGTCTTATAATAGAAACTAAAGATGTTATAAATGAAATAGTACTTTCTTCTAAAATTATGAAAGCAAAGTAAATCGTACAACACTACGAAATGCCGCTATGGCGCTTCAACGCAATTTCTATTGATAAACTGCGAACTAAGTCCAGTGGCGACTCACGTGTCATAGACGGCGTGTAAACTAAGTTGTTGTAGCTTTCGTGTCGATAATGAAGTTTTTAGAAATGTTCTGTGCGGACAAGTTTGATTTTATTTCTTATGGTGTCTCATGCACGAAAAAAAAACATTTTCACATGTAGATGATGGGATCAAATCATATGCAATTGCACTGTGACTAACATTGGAGCCTAGCTTCTTTCGTTTCGGTTATTATATAGGATGCATACTAGAGTTCTGGTGGCATTATACAAGCAGAAGGTAAGCTTTCACTAGAACATAAGACTGTAAAATATTTTAGTGAATTAGTGGTACATATATACTGCATAGAGAACATGCACTAGCTACTGTATGTAGAGAAACCCAACTTACCTTAGATGGCTTTGTACCAAAGAGAGTGGAAGAGTTTCAAATTCAGGGAATGATTTGAGGTCCTGAATTTCTAACTCTGCCATAGCTTGCAGTAGATTTGCTTCGTTGCCTACCAGCTCTCGATGCAACCTGACAGTATTACTTGCGTAGTAGCAAAATGGTTCACAGGAGGTGCATGGTTGTCGCATGGTTCTAAGGCTAGAAGAACCTAATTATTTTAATGAAAGATTCTCAAGACACGGTCTCATTCTCTATATTTATGAGTACTCTACAACCTGTGACAGTTTCCTCACTCATATCTTCTATGCAATCCGAATTACGATTTTCTGTACTTTCAGACATTTTCTGTTCTAGTATTACTAGATACTGACATAGGAAATAAATACTGGCTTGCTGCTGTTTCAAAGACTGTCACTTAGCTACCACTTACCGGCTTTCACCTCTATGTCTAGTATTGGGTTGATTTTATGCCTAAGGGAGAATCTTGTTTTTCTGTCAAGATTTTATTAATGTTGAATTGAATGTGTAACGCTCGAAAGCGTTTAAAACGCGTCACGAAGCTAAACGATTTGCTTAACTCGGAACCATAGAATTATCATGAGAACTAAAATATTCATGCCTAAATTTTCAAGTGGTGGCAAACCGAAAAACTAGAAATGTGCTACCAATGTCGGCGCTTCTCGATCGAAGTTCAGCTCAAAGTTACCAAAAACACAAGAAAATCATTCCTAATTATGAAATATGAAGGCTTCTCTACTTCACATGAATCGCTTAAGCTTGCATTTAATTGAGTAATTCAATCTTCCATTCATTCATCTCCTACTCCATGAGCCCAAGATTCTCAGTACTGTTTCTCATTACGAATAGGGTGCTATGTCGAACAAGTCGTGGGGGCGAACTATAGAATATTTCAACGGTAGTGGTAAGATAAGTGATTGACATATATTCGTTGTATACATGTCATCGTTGTTTCTGTGGGAAGCATACTTTGTGCATTTGTGTTTTCGATTTCAAAATCCTTTTGAGCATTGGTTGTCTGACCGCGATACAAGAGTTTGATTGAGAATGCCATTTCCGGGAAAATGTAAAAAATGTCAAGGTTCACATTGTTGCAAAATAATTTTTCTGATAATTTTAAGTAATTAAAAATAAGCTGGTAGCTTCGGAGCAAGACCACAGAACCTATGCCGTTGTTTAAGATCGTTGTCTGGTGTCTGACATGGTTGCCTATAAGCTAGAGATTGCAAATCTTCGTAGATTTTCCTTCGGTTATAGTTCAGCAGGTGCTTTGGGGTTCGTGGAAATATATATTCCCACTTTCTTGCCTGAACCTGTTCGTGTTCACATGATTTTCGAAGCATGAATTATGTAAGTGGATACGAAAATTTCGAAGATTCTTTCCTCGGTAACGTAACTGCATCATCATCGATATGAGTTTCAGGAGTTAGACGACAGCATGTATGAGCCTAATAAATGTTCTAGTTTAGTACCTACTCGAATGGTCATGGAATATGTAAATGTCATGCCAGCGACAAAAGTTAAGGTGTAGTCGTCGATATTTTGTTTAATTGCAGTTAATTAATATTGAGAGTATTTTTACATATATCGATATTCATATGTTATCAATCAGACTTTCACACTATCCAGTTGTCGGGTGCTATTTGTAATCCACGGTGCAGTCAACGCAGATACCGACTGTGCAGAAATAATGGGCTAAGACAGCAAAAATAAAGACTGCATGCCCAGCTGAGTGTAAAGGAAATGAACATTTTGAGCCAAAGGCTGTACTAGAGAAACAACTGCTGCAAGATCTTGTCGTATGCAAGACAAAAATATTTGGTCGTCCTATCGATGTAATTTGTAATTTGACTGTTGTTACTCGAGACTGCATTGATGATCCAAAGTTTTGGAAAAATGTATATATATATGAATTAATGTCTATAAGAAACCAAGATACTTTATATCATTTCCTACAAAATTTGAATTATATTTATATATAACAGAAAATTTGGCCAGCTTAACTTAACGACCTTGCCTATGATCGTTGAATCAAGGGCATACTTACGAGAATGACAGGACGTGTGCTGAAACGAGTTCTTCACTAAGAGCTTGACAGGAGTTGAACCTAAATCGCACTGTATCTTTAGCGTTTGTGGATAATCTTTTGATGAATTACAGGCCTGTTTTCAGTTAACACAACTTCATAAAGCACAAGATATCCAGTAATGCTTTGCTTCTTGCTGCCTTTGCTAATTTTTACGCGTGGGCCCCTAATCTAACCTCCGCCGTTCATGACACTGGTTCTCTCAACTTGAGACATCGAAAAAATTTTCGCCTAACGCTAAATGACTCATAATGCCTAAAAAGTGTTCAACATTTTTCTAGAATGTCTTTACTTTGCCTCTACTTGGTTAAATTGTCTCGAAACTTGCGCCACCCGCCTATAGAGAGCCCAGCCAATGTAATGCCTAGTGACAATCTGCTTGGAAAAGTAGGTGTATAAATTTAAGTAATTCTTTTAGCATGCATGGATAATTTTTCCAAAGTACGAAACAGTTTTTCGCATAAATAAAAAACAGTTAGGGGATTTGTGGTCATACAACTTGAACAAGTGCATTTTCTCCTGTATTTCCATTTACGACATTTGGGATACCTACCTATTACTGGAACCACTTTTATTCGCATGGCTTGAGTTATTTCTTCTGAATTACAAAAATTACAACGGGATTCCTTAAAACGTGACCAACTGGTTGAAGAATAAATGTCTAGTCACTACATATATAGTGTAGAGGTTTGGGCATGAACACGGTGACTTAGGAAGATATGATTGTATAGTTGTTTTTTACACCCGCTGTCAGAGGTTGCTTGAGTTCAATCACTCAAATTCAACCAAGACTGCTGTAGATACTACCAAAGATATGTATTAAGCATATATAGGAGGGATAAAGCTCAGATAATTAAACAATGGATGATATTCAGGTTGTTTCATTTCACCATGTTGGCGTCAAGCAATATTCAAGGTTGTGCATTATCGATGCCTGTTCAATGGAAGTTGTCGGACAGTGGATCGGTCTAAACTCCAAATGAATCCAATTAAGTCCTCTTTGCCACCGAAAAAATGCGGATGTAGTTATAATCACAACAAAAAAATTAATGAGCACGATTCGAACGAAAACATTTATTTTGTCTGGTTGAGCTACATTGAACCACACTGATTATTTTTTCATCTCGGCGAAATCATTTGATCGTATCAAGGTATTTATGCCACTTGTGCTTGTGGGAGCCAAAAATCCACTCCGATTGCGCTTTAACCCTTTCTCTGTGACCAAATTAACCATTGTTAAAATATAAAAATATATGTTTCTAAAATGTAATTAGCAGAGTTTCCGTCTGTGATAGCGCATAATTTCCTCAACAATTGCATGTTTTCAATCTTTATTCATTTCAGCAGGTTAACATTTTTTTAATATTATACGATGCTTTTTACAGAAAAATGTTCTCCACACTAATAATATTAAGACACAAACATTACAAACAAAGCAATTTACCATTTAAACGCGGTCATTTTTTGGCATCTATTGACAGTATACATGATTTCTTACCAAGTTGAAGATTACTTATTACGACAAAGAAAAAAAAATGCTGATACTTGTTTTCACATCAAATTTGATTCTCGAGCAATAAGACATGAATGACCCTCATGGTACTGTATTAGATGAAAGTTTTCGTATTTCGATGATTCATTCATGATCATGACTTTACTTCCCGCTATGAACTTAGTTGATTTTGTCACTGCATTAAAGGCAGAAATAGAAAATCACGTAATTCAAAGACAGTTATTGAAAAAGTCATAATAGTACGATATTGAAGCAATAGCCTATTTAGTAACTTTCAACCATTCTTACCGCATGTGCTGGTTCTAACAGAAACCGATCATCCTTATTTCCAAAGAATACTGCAACATAACATCAAGGTGATAAGTTCACATTTTTTGACCTGCAAACCATACGGGAAGGCATCATTGCGCCTAATGTTGCTTCGGTACGTCCTTCCTTCTACAGAACTAACAAACGTGCTGCACACAATGCACTTTATGTACAGCCTGCCCTGCAACCTTTGTTCTGTGCAAAATACCTTGCTGACTAAAAGAAGTTTGCGAAGGTTTGTAACTTTATCCCACAATATGGGCCCAGATGAGCTGATCATGAGCATATTTTTCTGGATGAAAATGGTACAAAAACAAACAACTTATAAATATTCAAAATTCGAATCAGTTGCAATTGACTGTGCTTGTCGTAAAAAAAATTACTAATGTATAGTAGTCATATATGAGAACAAAAACGTTGAAACAAATAACTTGGATCCCAAGAATTATGTTAGTTTTTTCAGTGTTCAAATTGTCTGGAACGAGTCTCCTATAAATCGGAACGAGTCTCCTATAAATCATGTACACGAAAGTTAATGTTTTAAGGTTCATATTTATATCTATATGTTGATTTATAGAAAGAGAAACTGTGTTA